GCTCATCGAGCATCTCTTTAAGGCTTTGTGAACATTTCTGGGTGGGATGACGTGTTTCCCGCCTCGTCTAGTACTGGCTAGATCTTAGACATGCATGATAAAGATATTTACGGCTCTTATATGCGGTTCTTGGCGTACTGTTGCTGTTTTTTCCGGTGGTAAAAGCATACTTTCCGAGTTGACGGACACTGGGCTCGAAGGAACGTGTAGTTTGAGCCATGCTTGGAAGCTGACTATGAGGGAATTTTCTATTATAAATTGTGAACAGTTATACTGTGATAAGTTGCACACACTCCTGAGAAATGTCGTAGTACAGAGATAATTGAATGGAAATGCTTTCTATACGTAGAGAGCCTTTTTTTTTTTTTTTTTTTTTTTTTTTTTTAAGATGAATATACCAGTATAAATTACTAATCAGATTAGATGAGTTAAATATAAAATATATAACAAAAAACAAGTACAAACATAATAATAGAATGTTAAGAACAAATAGATTTCTATTCAGTGCAATAAATGAAAAAAGTAACTATATAAGAATGTAACTTATTAAAAACATTGGTAAAATGAAATGAAAAATGTTAGGCCGAATATATATTAAGTCAACTGCGTTATTCAGCACTTAAGAAAATAAGGAATATTAGGCACCTTAATTCATCTCTTTAAAACCTAAGCAATTAACTCTGTTTGTATTAAAACTATGCAATGCGTGTGGTATAATTAATCAGTTACAGAAGCAAGGAGAATGAGAAGCGGGAAAGAAAGAGTAAAAAGTCCTACCTTGGTAGCAGTACTTCTTCTGTAAGTTAGACAATTTCCAAGAGAGAAAATTCTCAATTCTTGTTAAGAAAAGAGTGCGAAAACAATGAAACACTAATCTTATCACACAATATAGAGTCTGTACAAGCTGTTACTAAAATCAAAATTTCACCAAAAGCACTAAAATTGAAGTAGATGACCGATAGAGATGCAAAGTTCACTTTTTAAGTTCTCTGGAAGACTGAAAAACTTGAGAGGGAAAATTCTCTGTCCTGTTTCCGTTTTCTAATTGAATAAAGAGTGAACTGCACAATTGAGGAATATCCACTGTCGTAAAAACCGCAAACGTAGTGGGAGAGGCTCTTTGTTCGTAAGGGGGGTCCTGGCGTCACCACCGGTTTTCCGGGGTGAGGTCCTGGGGGCAAGGGGAACGTTGTAGATTCCTTCCTTGTGGGGATTGCTGCGGTGGGATTTCCTCCAGGGTAGAAAGGAGAAAATAAGCCAAATTTTATATTTTCTGAACTATTTGACGGAGAATCTTTTAATTTAGAAATCCTTAATCGTCATTTTTCCGCTGATTGTTGTCATCTTTTTTTTTCATGAAAAATGGGCTGTAAAAACTGGAGAAACTGCCTGATGAAGAAACCACTAGTACCTTTTGTTATCAACAGCTTTTCTTATCTCTTTGGAGCTCTTTGTCATAGTTAGCAATACGTTCAGGGATGAAACCGTACTTTTTCCTGCAATTTCACAGATGACTCATCACACACCACGTGCTAGCTAAATAATCTTACGTAATTAAAGTAATAATAATCTGATCACTACGAAAATAGTTCCAAGGAAAACCTGACACACGATTGCGCGTCCGGTGATATAAATCTTGAGAGTAAATGATGGACTAAAAAGCCATGTTGTTCTTCCCTTGCATGAACAATGGCGGACACAATGGGCTCCCACGAGTAAACTAGAAATTAATTAATAACTTTTTACGTATGGATGATACAGGCTTAATCCATATATCAAAACGCACGTCTTGGCTTCCTCAATAGTATGGTATGATTTACTCAACCTAATTATGAGGACTTACGCGAAAAATTGCGAATATTGAGGAGCGTGAAAACAGCGATGCACGGCAGTTCTTCGGCAGGTGAATATCGGCAGCTGCTGGCAGCCTTTGCTGAATTCAATGAAGAAATGAATATACGGCAAGAATCTGTCCAAGAAGATATGAAAGCCAGTCAAGTAGAGATGAGAGCGCGAAAAGAAGTGATGGAAGCTGGCCAAGAGATGATTGAAGCTGGCAAGACGAAATGGAAAGGGAAATTACCTGCATAACAGAAAACAAATTCAAGGCTATGGAAGGCAGATTAGACACAGTTGAAGACAAAGTTGTAGAAATTCAAGAAAGAGTTTCTTCGGTGAAAAAACAGATTGAAGAAAGATTTTCTGCCGTTCAAGAACAAATCGAACAGCAAATTGATAACAGAGTTTTTGCGGTCGCCAAGGAAGCTGATAGCCTAGGGAAATTCGTAGCAACAGCAGGAATAAATTGTGATGGGTTTAAATGTTTACACATGCCTTCTCGACCCTCTCTAAAGCTATCCACATATGACGGTAAGATCTCCTGGCAAGTATATAGAACACAATTTTGTATAGTAGAGGAAGCGAATGGATGGGATTACCAAGCTAAGGCTTGTCATTTCGTAGCTTCTCTGAGAGCATACACAGCGGATACCTTTCAGACTCTTGTGGAAAACCAAAGGTTAGATTTCGAAGCGATTTCCGGCGCGTTGAAGCTGCTCTTTGAGGGGAAAAGTTTAAGAGTCTACAGCAGGATTTAATTAAAATCCCATCACCAGTAGCCCACGGAAACACTCCAGAAGCTCGCCATGGATGTTGAAACGCTGTCTCATCTCTTATTTTCGGAGTGTCCGACAGAAAGATAGGAAATTTTGTCCCTGCAGTACTTCATCGATAGCATCTGCGATCCTGAAATGCAGAAATCTTTACGAATGGCGGATGTCAAGGATTTAAAAGCGCTCTGGTGTACGCCATGAAATTCGACTCAGCCCAGCAAGCAACTCGTAGAGATCGCCATCCAATCAGAGCTGCTCAAGTCCAGGAGTCAGTGGATTAAGTGACTGCTCGTCTAGATGATTTAGCCAGAAAAGTCAATGATTTGAGACGGAATAGGAGTGATAAGAAACCAACCGTAAAGTGTTGGAACTGCGATGCTGAAGGCCACGTACGAAAGTACTGCAGAACACTCCTGCGCACGAAAAAAGACCACTTCCCAGCAACGACTCAAGAAAAAAATTAATTCCTATCCTGCGGAGCGGAGTTTGAAAGATAAGCAAAAGTCCAAATTTAAAGCGTTTGAGATTTCTCCAATGAGTAGCGGCAGTAATGGACTCTTTAGCCTGGGCCATATAATGGAGGTCCGGGCAATATTACTATCGATATAGAAGCACACCTTACCATCATCCGAAAAGATTTGGCTCAACAACTGAAGGGTAAACTTATCTGGACGCCGCCCTGCTTTACCCTCCAGACTGTGTCCAACGAAAAGATCGACATCGACGGAAAATTAAACCTTAATATTACGTTTAGAGGTGCCGCCTAAATCACACGCAATAAGGCTGCTTGGAGCTCCTATAATTTAAGTTAAAATAAGATACCGATAACACACGTAAATATTTATTAAGTTATTTATAAATATATATGGAAATGAAGGATTTCATTCATAAGCTCCTGTGAATGTTACTGTGAAGAAATCTAGTTATTAAATACGTCTAAATTATAATGATTATAAATATTACCTAAATGTATAATAACCTTAATAGCCAGCACTGGACTATCGATTTTCTACGGGATAGGAGATACACCAACCTTCGCAGGAATAAGTGGCAACAGCTGGATTGACCTCACACTTATCATAAGTAGAGACAGAATCCGAATTGATAATCGGAAGGTAACGGACGAAGCAAACAATAGTGATCATAATAATATCTATTTTGACGTCTCCAGCATTCATTACTCAACATGGAGAAGATCGAAAATCAATGTACGACATACCGACTGGCTAAGTTTCAAAAGGGGTGTCTCAAAATCTCTAGCAGACCCTAGAAATCTGAAAACTATCGAAGAAATTGATAAATATATAAGAGAAGTCACCACTAGTCTCCACGAAATCTATCAAATAAGAGTTCTCTCACATAACTCGAAACCAAGACCGCGCACCTGTCCATGGTGGACGAAGGATCTCACTATTCTCAGGAAAAAGGTTAGAGCAACAAGGAAGAAATTCCAAAAAACAACTGGACAGGAAAGGGCCCATAACAGGCTGCTTTACCAAAGAGTACGTGCACAGTACCGGCAAAAGATGTATAAAGAAAAGAAAAAAGCATGGGACATGACATGGAATAAAATTACTGTCAGCTTTCCGTTCGGAACATACTTCGATCTAGTTAAAGGGAAGAGCATGGATCAATTACGGATAGGATCAGTTCAAAAAGACGATTGCACAATGACGAGCACAACTGAGAATACAATTAGGGAAATAATGAGATTGCATTTTCCAGAAGACGACCCCAACCAGGACTCTACATATCACGCAGATATCCATGCCCAATCAACCGAGATTCCAAACTCTGAAGACGATCAGCCGTTTACACTCGAAGAAATGCAACGTACGATAAACTCAACATGCACAGGTAAAGCTCCTGGTCTGGATGGCCTCACGATTGAAACCATAAGAAGAGCTTAGGCTCGCGGAATACAAACAAATTCTAGCACGCTTTAACAAGTGCCTTGAATTAGGTTATTTTCCAAAGGAATGGAAAAACGCAGAACTAGTATTGTTTAGAAAGACGGAAAACCAAAGTCCATACCCAATTCTTACAGACCTATCTGCTTACTCTCAGCGTGGGGCAAAGTCCTTGACAAGATGCTTATGCATAGATTAACCTATTACCTGGTCAAAACCAAACTACTAAACCCCCTCCATACGGGTTTACTAAAGGGCGGAGCACCACCGACGCCCTAAACCGTGTGCAAGATATGATCTTAAATAACAGGCAAAATAACCTGCATACGTGTATAATATCGCTTGACGTAGCGTCAGCATTCAATAGACTATGGTGACCAGCACTCAAAACAAAACTAAAAGACCTGCGATGGCCAAAGAATCTTTACCAACTGATCACAAGCTACCTCAGAGAACGTCAAGTGACCTACAAAAGAGACGCCCTAAATATTACAATGAATTAAGATCCCCACAGGGGTCTAATGTCGGACCCATCCTGTGGAACATAATTGCGGACTCAGCACTGAACATAAACTTTGGAGACAATGCCAAGATACAAGCTTACGCCGACGATATTATACTCATAATAGACGGAGGCAATAGGACAACTGTTTACTTCCATGCCTATCGAATTAATTTCAACCTTTTCGTTGTCCTGCGTTGGCAACACGCTTTTGAGATTTGTTGTTCGTAGAATTCGGCCGCTAAAAGCGTAGCTGACCTGTAACGGTTGTAATTCTTATTTTAAAGCTTATACGTCTTGCTGAATTATTACTAAATGTTTACGTATGAATGTTATATTATTAAATGTATGCAGTTTAGTTTGAATAGACCGAGAGTGCTTGGATTTATTAAGGATATTTAAAATCGAAACTACTTCAACCATTTCGACGCCATTTTAACACAGGAACGTAAACAACAACAATAGAGCGTAAAGCAGACGCAGCACTCAAATTGCTTATAAAGTGGAGCCAAAACAACAAACTGTGTTTCAGTATTGAAAAAATACACTCCAGGTTCTAGCTGGAAACCGCAGCACTTCAGGTTCTAGCTGGAAACCGCAGCACTTCAGGTTCTAGCTGGAACGCTCCCACACGACCTAAAAGCAGAATTAGAAAGATCAATCTATCGACTTCTACACTACAAAAAGGAGCTTCACACTAAAGAAGATTTACATCTATCCTATGCTAGCGTAGAAAGCTTCCAAGATCCCCCTGTCTTACACCCAGGAGATCTACCCATCCTTCCCTGGTGCAAATCGCCTTCCTCAGGTCAACAAAAAGAGATTTTCTCTGACGGATCAAAAATTTCAAAACGAGTAGGCGCAGCGTTCACGGTCTTTACGAACAATGAAGAAATTTATCAAGTACAATTTCGTCTAAGCAACCATGCTTCAGTCTTCCAAGCCGAGTCCTCGCACTCAAAGAAGCAACACTATGGTTAGGTACGCCACCAGCATCTCACTTCATGCTTCACAGATAGCATGAGCGTTCTGAATGCGCTGAATTCCTTTCCTCCTAAACATCCGCACACGGCAGCACTTAGAGAGATCCTCTTGACGTTAGGCTCTTCCATCCCTTTAAAGATAAACTGGATAAAAGGACATACTGGGCAGAAAGGCAACGAACGAGCGGATGAACTAGCTAAGACTGCAGCTCTCAAACCAGAAATTGACAAGGAAGTTCCGCTTTCCGCAGAAGTTGCAAAAAGGCTCCTCAAGACAACATTCCAAGAGACATGGTCATCACGATGGTAGGAAGAAGAGACAGGAAGATTTACTTACAACATCTTTCCAATACCTTCTCTCAAGAGGCGCAAATGCAATCGACTCTTCCTCCAGACCTGTACCAACCACGGGAAATTCCCAGTGTATTACAGACGATTCCTCAGACGGGACGTCAACTGTTCTTGCGGTTTTCGCGGGGAAGACGCAGACGCACTTCATTACCTGCTCCTCTGCCCTCTGACAGAGCACCTTCGACAGCAGTACTTTCCTTCTTACTACATAGCATAGCCTGTGAATAGACTGTTCACGGACTATTACTGCAAAAATGTCATCTTAGAGATAATGAAGCAAGTGAATGAAAATAATTATATCCCAGAAACTAGAGATTTAATGTAAAATGTAGAAAAGAGACCTAACCGTCAAATTGCTAGCAATGACTAGGATGACTTCCTAACCCTCTAGTGCCATTAACTTAGTTTGGCGGTAAAGTGACCATATCTCTCTAACTTTGAAATAGCCTAATGTCTCTACAGTGGCGCCCGAACCAAAAAATGTGGTGGATGATGATTCTCCACCACCAGGATTTGGCGATTGGGTTCCCTAATCTCCAGTCGGCCTTTAAAAGGAGGAGTATATAAGGTATTTCTCCCGCCTTCTTAGCATGCCTTCGTGGTGTAGTGGTCAGCATACTCGGCGTGTACTCGAGAAGTCCGTGTTTCGAGTCCCGGAGAAGGCATTGCTAATTTTTCATCTCTCTAACTTCGAAATAACCTAATGTCTGTACAACCTAACTTGGAAACACAAACTAAGATTCTGTTCACAAGTATATTTATAAAACTATTTAAGCTGGAATTGTTCATACTGGAAAACAATCTATTAAAAAGGGTAAAACACAGTCTACCGGATGCGTACTCAAGGAAGTAGTAAAGTAGAATTTTTAGGATATGTATTGTTGAAATTAAAACTAAAAAGGGATTTGATAAGTATTAGAAGATTTATTTCCTTACATATTGTAATAACTTAGTTACAAGTTTTAAATAATACTAAAAAAAACCAACTTTTTAAAATCCGTTTCAGAAATACTCATAGAATGTTAAGTACATGGAAATCAGCAGCATTATTTAACATATTTGACTATTAAAATAACAGGTGCTCTAATTTGAAATGAGCCAAAAAGAGCACTAATAATAAAAAGACTCTTATTTTTGATTTAAAAAGATGCCTCAGAAGCTAAAAATCATCTCATATTTGAGAAAGTATTTCAGAAAGAAACTCTGTAAATAGAAAAATATATATATATATGCGTAATTTTAATGCCAATAATACAATAAACTTTGATTTTAATTTTTGTAATCGTTAATCAAATAAAATCAAATTACCTTAAAATTTCTTTCTAATGTAATTAACGAAAACGTGTGAAAATATTTCATTCAAATTAAAACTGTTCTGAGCAAACTGTTTTGAGAAAAGTATAACATTTAATTCCGCTCAGAATGAAATCTTGTTTAAAAATATATTCTTCCAGATTAACAATCTGTATCTGGACTCTAAAGTACTGTAGAAAAAAAAATATATAAATTTGTACGTATATTTACGATGTAATTACAAAATGTTTACCTCTGGTCATATCAAAATCTGTTAATGTTAATGGCAAATCATTGAATGTTTTGGTCTCCAAGAGGGGTGCGCCACTGCTTTAAGGCAGTGCACGGGAAAAGACTGTTCGGGCCTCTCCTCACCTCCATGAGTCATTTCCTCAATTCCAACAACTTCCCTATTCCTGTTTAAGGGCATCGTGGTTACGCAATTTTAGACAGCCACCCCCCACACGACAAGGCACAAGCATTCGCTATTATGGGTACCCGCGTTTGATGGATATCCCAGCATATCACAGTTTGAGCGATTTTCGAACTTGTAGCCAAATCTCGCAAAATTAGCGAGATAGCCATTTACACAAAACAGACTTGCCCCTGCATTTTTATTTTTCAGGTAGAGCATCCTCCCTCTAGATTTTTCACGTTATATTATACAGAAACTGCAGACGTTTCGCATATAATTGCACTAAAATCATCTACTTATGTTCAATATTCGTAATATTTTATTAAAGGGAAGAATGTTAATTTGAGTGGCTGTGAAAGACGTTTAATAATGCATGAACTATGAACATTCATCATTGCTGTTATAATTAATTTAAATATCAGAACTAATGTACTAGTAGAGACCAGAATTTATGAATGCCACGGCACTAAATGTTCTCTGAGTTTATGTGAAACTGTTGCTCTAAAAACAGAAACGTTTATGCAAATTTGTGCTATTATGATGAGCAAACATTATCACGTTTAATAACTTTTTAAAGACGCAAAGAAAATAATTGTCTAAACTTCAGGTTAGGAGATTAACGTTTTGAGTTCGTTATATTCACAAATATTAATTAAGGCAATTCAAATCTAGGTGTGAACTCCAAATACAGAAATAAGCTGCAACCTGAAGTTTGATAGTTCATATTTATTGCATATAAAGTAGTTTAATTTCTAAATATTCTATCCTACTCCATTTAAAAATAGATTGCAAAATCGTTTATCACAAATTTTTACACTAGTCATAATTTTTGTAATACATAAATGCAACTTGTTGAAAGATGAGGATTACGGACGCAATTGCAGTAGTACAGGTTATAGTTACATCTGAAAATATATTTAACTAATACATTTTCCTCTGAGATTATATAAATTTTTCATAAACTTAAACTTACATTTCAAAGCAAATCAGTGTATTTTCCCTTTTTCTCCGTACCTTATGAATGTTCAAATCACAAAATCAAGATTCGGAAATACATCTAAAATCTACATGAACTCCCTTTCCAATTTTTGTTAACTTGACAATCAGTCTATCAGCAGCTAGATTTAGAATGAGTGATAAATAGTGTTTTTTTAAATCTTGATGAAACTAATAAGCTTTAGGCTGATGGTATTTAGTCTTCTTGGCGCAACATTTTATTCTACAGTTCACACAATGAGAAAACAATTCTAAAGTGTTCATTATTGTTAGGTGTTTTTATCACTATTGAAGTAGAATTATGATTTATTCATCAGTTTACATGATATGGATGTATTCATCTTGAACTGTATACTCTTTTTGTAAATTTGGCAAGAGCTTTAAAATTACGTTTAATTTTTTTTTTATTTTTTAAAATTACATTTAAATTTAAAAAGTTAAGCAAAAATCTGTGCCGATG